TGATACGACATTCAGAACGATAATGACCGAACTTATGACACTTGTAGCACTCAATTTTGGATTTGTCATAATGTTGAGCCCCTCCTCTTCCTTTGTGTTGAGGTTGATAATCGTCATAAGGTTTAAAATTCTTGCTGCCATTTTTGTTGCCTTGTTCTCCCCTTCCTCTTTCTCTTCCTTTGCCCCTTCCTTCAGAATTTAAGGAATGATAAAAAATAGAAGCCTTTAAAGCTTGCTCCTCTGTAGTTGAATTGCGATTTATTTTCTGTTCATACACCAGCAAGGAGCTTTGTAATTCATCAAGAGAGAGTGCATCTATATCTTTAGATTCTTCAATCAAGCAAACAATGTAATCGAACTTTGATGTTAAAGAACGCAAGACCTTCTCTACAATAGTGACATATTCCATTTTCTTACCATGAAACTGCATTTTATTGCTTATCTCCATGGTTCTTGCAAAATAACTAGTAATAGACTATCCATCATTTATTTGCAGAGTCTCAAAATCCCGTCTCAAAGTTTGAAGCTATGCACGCTTGCCTCTTACTAAATCTTGATATTTCTTTTTCATTGAATCTCAAATTTGCTTGGAGGTATCTTTGCATAAGATGGTCTCCAAAATCGAACGATCAATAGTCTGGAATAAATAATTCTTTGCTTTGAGATCCTTCAACTTCAATCCCTCAATTTCTGTTTTCTGCATATTAGACACAGCTATTCTAATTGTTGGTTCTAAAATTCCTTTCGAAACAACTTGCCAGTACTCCTTAGATCTGAGGAAATTTTTCATCAACATACTCCAATAATCATAGTGACTATCGAAGCGAGGAATTGCAAGTTGTACAAAATTGTCAGATGCCATTGACAATAATAATTTCAACAAAAGAAAGCTACTGTTTTTCTCGTATGAATTAGAAACTTGTGGCTCTGATACCACTATTGACTCAAATTAAATAGATTGCAAAAATGAGAATGGAGTAAGAAGACAAAAACTGAACTTAAAACCTTCTCAAAATTAATAGCAAATTAACCTATAAATAGGCATTACAATCAGTAAACAACTAACTCATAATTCCTATAAAATAGGAAGCAATAATTCCACTACCATAAACTAAAATGCTAAAACTTAGGAACCATCAAAGTATTAACCATAAAATCTGTAAAATAAAATATTTTCAGTTAATTACTAAGTTACTATTAACATTTCAGGTCCCATTCTTCTCGATCATGTTAATCTCCTTCTTCATGGCAACTCTCCATACTTCATATGTGAACTGCATCTTCAAAAGAAGGACCTCAACTGCTAAATTGCAATATTCATAAATCCAGGGAAAAAACTGTCTTGAGAACTGGAGAATCAGGTGGAGACTCAGTATTTTCTTACCATCGTAAGTTGGAGAATTTTGAGGCATTAGGAGAGGAAGTGAAGAAGATTTACTTGCCACTTCATCCTTTTCTGGAACGCTGTTATCCCAATTCCAATCTGATAATTCATTAGCAGTTACATCTGTGCTTACCTAGACTTTGTGCCTTCAAGTCGTAGACTATATACCCTTTAGAAGTTAAGGAAAAAATTCCTTCTACTGCCCTTTAATCCAGCTTAGTTCGTCTGGCCGAAGGTACATGGATATAAAACATTGAGCAAAAGTTTTTCAAATGCTTAGCAGATGGTTTAATATCACTCCATCCTTCAGTTGGTGTTTTCCATCCAATGCTTTAATAGGCAGTATATTCAAGAGACAGACTGCTGTATAGACAACTTCATCCCCAAAAACGAGTGGGAAGTCTTTATCAGTCATCATTGTTCCAGCCATTTCTACCATGGTTCTATTCTTCCTTTCAGAAATTCCATTTTGCTAAAGTGAATAAACAACAGTTGGTTGATGATTAGTCCCCTGGTCTGCACAAAACTAATCAAATTCATTTAAGGTATGCTCTTTTCCATGGTCAGACCTCAAATTGCTTACCATACATCCACTGTATTCCTCCGCCATGGCTTTAAATCTTTTAAATACGGGAAAAACTTGCCTTTTTTTGTTCAAGCAATAAAGCCAAGACATCCTTGAGTAATGGTCAATAAAAAGTACAAAGTTCTTGTCATTGCTCAATGAGTTCAACACTTGTAGGTCCACACACATCTATGTGAACTAATTCCAACTTTTTCTGTGCCGTCCAAGAAGAATAGTTTGGAAATGATTTCCTATGCATTTTTCCCAATTGGCAGGAACTCAATACATCCTCCACCATTGACATTTCAGATAAATCCTTCGTTAAACCTCTAGAATGCAAATTCTTTAAGGCAATATAATTGAAATGTCCAGATCTTCTATGCCATAACAAGGACTCATCTTTTTGTGCTAAGGTAACTCTATTACACAGCTCATTCCAATTTAAAGGAAAGCTTTTGTCAACTCTAGCAATCAAGCTATCTTGAGGTTCATAAATGGAACGATGATTATCTTTAAAAGACAAAGAATAACCATTTGACAGCATTTATACTTCACTGATTTGTCTACAGCACAAAGCAAGCCTTCGTTCATAGCCGTGTGGCTGGCCCAACCACCATCAATGAACCATGTTTGATCCTTGCTTCATTGATCAAATTAAGAAGCCATAAGCAGCTTATCACAATCATCATGTTCTTGTTGATCAATGAAGTCAGACTTGTTGTTGTGGTTGAGTTGGTGCTACATTCTTCTTCATTCCGCAATATTTCTCGATAAATGTCCCCACTTCTTGCAAAATCTGCATTGAATGAGCTTCTTCCGTTTATATCTACAATCATTTTCTTGATGATTATCCCTTTTACAGAAACTGCATATTGGAAATTTTTCCTTTTTACAAGCATCAGTTGAATGACCAGCATTCTTTCCTTTTCCAGCTCTGTCAGTTCCTTGTTTCTTCCAGTGTTTCACAGGTGGCTTCCATTTCTGCCTTACCCGAAAGGTTCCCTCTGATATAGCTTCATCCCTCATGTTGGTCCTTTGTTCTTGTGCCTGCGGTTTGTTAATAATTTCAGTAGCTGAAGGATCTTTTAAATCACACAATTCTTTAATTGTTGGAACTTTCTATTCAAATCTAGCTGGTAGGCTGATGAGCATCTTCTTTATGACCTTTTGATCACTAAAATCTTCTCCGAACAATCTTTTTCTATTCACAATTTCCAGGAGTTGAGGAATAATTCTTTAATTTTCACCATCGTTCATACTTAGCAGTTCAAATTCTCGCTTAAAGGTGAAGAGTTTGACAGTCTTTACCCTCTTACTGCCTTCAAATTTGAAAGATTGACTTCATTGGAATAAAAATGGATGGGATATCTTTATCTGTGGAGGAGTACAAGTTAAGATTTAACAGTATTTTTTACTTGCAATGAGACGAACACTACAACTACATATTTATTCACCTCAACTAATTAACAGAGGGCTGTTAGTCTAATCATTTGGATTATTACTTTTAACAATCTTCTTTATTAATTCTCTCTTTCAGAGACAAACTACATTAATATTGTGTAATTCTCATTTGGGTCAATCTTTTGGAGAAATCTCAACATCAGAGACAAAAAAAATTATATACGACACACACATATATATGTATTATATATATACGACCCTTTAATCTGCCTAATTGTTTGTTGAGAGACTTTTGGTTATCAGGGTCTAATCAAATCCAATTCAATCATCATCACTGACTTTTTATATTAGAATTAAAAACTTCCATGCCTTGGTTCATCTTAAGTTTGTTTTAATTTATTTATTCAACAATACTTTTAGCTAAAATTTGTAATGTCTGCCATCTCATATTAGTAGCAGTGAGTATATACACACACACACGTATATATACTTGTATAATTTATTCAAACTGCAAATATAAAATAAGGAGAGAAAGGAAATTCTATAATACATGTATATATGGTATTATTAATTTTGCTTGAAAACTAAGGAGAGAAAGGAAATGTATAATGAAGTTCACATGTCACCAACTTAGGTATCCCACCACCATTACACATACAATTTATAATAACCCTAGACCTTTTAATGAATCTTCAGCACACACACAGACACCTTTTTATTACTTATAAAACTTTTTAACACAAAATATGTCTAAGCCAGGTTGTGTGAGAAAACACATTGTGGAGAAGAACACAACCAGGAGGGAACAAAATTTGAAAACTAACCAGAATTTTTTGTCGAAGCACCTCAAGAGAATTTACCCAATTGGAATTCACAAGAGCAGTTCATCGTTATCGTTGTCATCTTTATCGTTGTCCTTGTCACAAAATTCTGATTCTTCCCTCACTGCCGATTCCGCGGCTACGCTGGAGCAGAAAATTTCGCTGGCGCTCCACTTGATTGGGCCGCACGAAGAAAGGAAGTATTTGTTGCCAAAACATGTTCAGCCACAGCAACAGCACCAAACTGAGGATCTGAGTGGTGAAGAATTGAGGAGATGCAACTGGATAACGAAGAATAGTGGTAAGCACTTTCATCTTGCTTTAAAGCTTTTGCTTTTCTTGTTTTATGCATTTACACATACTTGGTATATAAATAGCACGCGCAGATATATGTACACATACGGGAACATGTCACGGTAAAACATATCTACCTTAAGTTTATATCAATTTTGACATTGAATTAGTTCAAATTTTATTTAAAAGTCACTGATTATGATAATTCAGATTATACCTAGAAAGTAATGGAAACCCAAAAAAGAAAATCACAGACGGGTAAATGGTAAATAAGAAGTGAGATTAATGGGTTCTCCAAATTTTACTGTTAGGAGAATTCTTAATTAGTAATTTTGGAAGAAACATCAGTTAAGCAAACTTGTCTTTTTTTTTTTTTTTTTTTTAATTGTAGATTCGAACAAAAAAATTACCAAATTTGACATCATAATCTAGAAGCTAAATTTTGAACATGAATTGAAAGTGACAAGTGTCCTACTTTTGATTCCAAATTTTGGCCATCACTTTAATAATATGAAGATTTTATATTGTAGTTGTTGGGACTGCTTCTATTGCATCGACATTGATAAATATCCAAATAATTGAGCAACCACCAGAAAACCATATTACACTGATAAAATTATATACTATATGCAGCCATTCATAAAATTTAATGCAAAACCTAATCTTTTTGTTGAGTAAAAATTCATAAATGAACTAATTTAGTTGTAGATTAACGTTGATATCATTAAAGGTTTGGTTACAGATGAAGTTTATGTGTCGTTTCATGATGAGCAATGGGGAGTTCCAGTTTATGATGACAAGTAAGTGATTTTTCAATTTACATTTATAAGCTGAATTTATATATATATATATATATATATATATATATGTTTTGACATATATTTATGAGCTGTAATAAGTTACAAAACAGTCAATTGTTTGAGCTGCTCGCAATGGCTGGCATGCTGATGGATTTCAACTGGACTGAAATTCTAAAAAGGAAACAAGTATTCAGGTAGAATTAATTAAATTTCTTGCAGAAATTAGAATATACTTAATTTCATTGTAGTGTAATGCAATGCAATGTAAGTTTTTGCTGGTAATTCTGCAGAGAAGCCTTTTACGGATTTGATCCGAACACGGTAGCCAAAATGGAGGAAAAAGAAATTGAGGAGATAGCCTCCAATAAAGCAATAATGTTGCAAGAAAACAGAGTGAGGTGCATTGTAGACAATGCCAAATGCATTGTCAAGGTAAGTTGAATGTTGATTCCTATATCTCAAAATTTATTTTTGAAATTTTTTTAACTCAAGTTTGAAAATTTACCAATTTGAGAAATTGGTAAAAAAAAAAAAAAAATGAATGAATGATTAGATTGGGAGAGAATTTGGGTCATTCAGCAGCTACATGTGGGGATATGTGAACTACAAGCCAGTGATAAACAAGTACAAATATCCAAGAAATGTTCCATTGAGAAGTCCGAAGGCAGAGGCAATTAGCAGGGATCTAATGAAGCATGGGTTTCGATTTGTAGGACCCGTCATCGTTTATTCCTTCATGCAGGCTGCAGGCTTAACCATCGACCACCTTGTTGATTGTTTCAGGCACAGTGAGTGTGTAAGTCTTGCAGAAAGACCTTGGAGGCACATCTAAACACCATTTTATATGTACTTCACAAACTCCTACAGAGGGATTATTATGTACTCATAGTTTATCGCAATTTTTATTTTTTTAAATTTTAATACTATTTGAGGTTGAAATTTCATCATAAAATTAGATGATATGTCTGAACACCCGCGGGGGGAGGGGGTTATGTAATGTCATATGTTGAATATGTAATGTTTCATATTCGCCGATAGGGATAGGATTCAATATTTGTTTAGTTCGGTCCTTGATCATTTTAGACCGGAAAAATTGAATCATTTTACTTTAATTCAATTTAGACTAAAATAGAGCAGTTTAAATTGAAAATAAAAAAATATAATTTTACTTTCAATTTTATTTAATATTAATTTACTAACAATTTTTTAAAAAAAAAAAATCGGAATAAAATGTATTAATCTTTCGGTTCAATTTGATTCATTTCAATCCAATCTGGTTCCATACTAATAAGCAGTTGTAGACGCCATGCAAGCTTACTAACAAAATCGATATAAACCTAAATGACTCATCAAAACCTGGCCGAGCAGCCTCTCGTGCGCAGCAGAGAGCTTAACTTGCTAGTGCTCCGGTTGAAGATATCTAAAGCTTTTCAAATTTTAGCCAGCCCAATTTACCTATTTTAACAACTATATATCCAATTTAATTAGTTTGAAATTTACATTTAATTAAACAGAATTAGTATTAATTAACACGTTAAATTGGTTTTGGGCTGGTTAATATATTTGATCAGTTGAGTTCTTTTAGAACAAATCACGTATGAATAATAAGATAAGAGTTGAGAAAGGTAGAAAGCTTGGGTTTGGGCCCAGCCCATAGCCTAATCATTAATCATGCCCATTAATAGGATTTTACAATGAAGTATGACATATAATATGTATATGTGTGTGTGTGTATATATATATATATATATAATTTAACATGTACTAAGAAATTTTTTCTAAAATAACTAATTGCAAGCAACGTACTGTACTATAAACTTGCTTAATTAATTGAGAGATCAAATTGCAAACCAAAAGGATTTTTTTTGTTCTAAGCCACTTTGATGATTTAGTAACCACGGCAAACGACTTGAAGGTTATCAAACGAGAACGCTTTTACATACATACATACATACATATATATATATATATATATAATTTTAAGGTTTTTAGATATCATGAAAGTACGTATATAATCACGACGAAGCTAATGATCTTGTCTGCAAACGTTGTAGCTTTTCTGATTCTGTCTATTATTATTCACGCAGGTGAACATGCATGCATGATAGCGCTCGAGATGGACAGCCTGCTTACGGAGCCGATTTAAATCAATGCTTGTTGTCAACTCATTTAAACTATTAACATCCTCTCTTAATCAGGAGTTGAACACTTCAAATTTAACATATTTTTTGAAAAAATTATATAATTTATAATAATAATTTCAAAAAATAAAAAGTTAATTATTTTTTATTTAAAAGATTAATTATGTAAAGCTTTCGTCACACCCATAATCATTAACATATATATAATAATAGAAAAAAGAAAGAGAGAAAAAGATGTCTTCGATCCTCTAAGCAGCCAGCACATGGCTTCAAGTCTTAATTCATAGTCTTTCAATAATCATATCTTCACCACAGAGATGCATGATACCTTTTTTTTTGTAGGTTGAAGATGTTGGAGAGACAACATGAAAAGTCTTGAGTCCCACTTAAAAAAGTATTTTATTGAACAAGATCATTTTATCTTCAATTGCAATCAACGTCTAAACAAATCCCCAAGTGGCACTAAACTACAAAACCCACTATTCATATCTACAGATTAGACTGCCACGTTGATTCTTGGACCATAATATATATACATATATAAACATCCATTCATCAACTATCTATATATATATATATATATATATATATGTTTCCTTTCCTATTCAATGCTGCAAAGTCAAGTTTAAACAAAATTAAATTTAGCATGAGTTACAAAAGGTGAAAAGCTGCGATCTGGTGACTAGCAGGCATGTATATATTGTGTGTTTATATAAGCATACGCACAGTGTTAGATGAGAACCTCCACCAAACTTTCAATGTCTTATCTCTTGGTGTAGATAACATCCATTTTACACGTGAATGCGACCCATTGATATCGACACCATAAAACAAAGCCAAATAGAATGTTATATATATGATGCTAATCAAATCATTTCTACTTATGCCCAGCTACTATTCCTACCCATGCATCTTCGAAAGTACGTTTCTGAATAGTAAATCGAACATGTAATACATATTTACCACCATATATATATATATATTTATATATATATACACATACATATATACATATATATATATTAGTTTTTGATAAGTGTGAGAAAAAAAAAAAAAAACCCTGAAGGTAGAGACATATTTTTGTGAAGGGATAAATATTATCTTTAATCCGGTATATTTTTATGATTCATAGCTATTAATAAGTACTTATTTGTTTAACAGTTAATTAGCTATGGAATAAAAATAGTTTATTAAATGTATTTTATATTATTATATAACTTTTTATCATTCCAATATTTATACTAATTTTTTAACATAATTAATTAATATAAATATCTTAGATTAATAATAATTTTCACTGTATATTATTTTTTTATAGTAATGATCAACTCATAACACTCACTAAAACAAAAAATAAAATAAAATAAAATTTTAACTTAAACAAGATTAATCTTTTGTTTAAGAAGTGGATTACATTATTATTAAGATTTGATTATGACGGAATTAGTAGAAATAATTAGTAAAAGCCAAGAGCTTAGAAGACTCCGAATTCTTTTGTCTACACTTTAAGACATCAATCAATACTCGTCTTTATCATATCTATAAGGCATAATATTAGCTGTCACCAATCAATATCAATAAATAAATAAATAAACAAACAAAAACACGAAACAATTACATACTTACATATGTCCGCCCATATTCTATGTGGCAGATAAACAAAAAAAAAAAGAATTTTAATCAATTAAAATTTAGTAACGTATATATTTCCAACAAAATATATATTGAAACGCTCAGCTTTGATTATATAATTATCATAATATAATCAATAATATTGCAATTTAATAGTTAAAAATTCTTATACTCTACTTAAAAGAATTTGTTTAGCATTAGATTCGGAAATCTGTGACATTAGGGCAGAGGCAGAGACCGAAGCTCGGTACATATATCGGTGTGTTTGAGAGAGGTGAGTCAAGAATTAAGAGTTTTAGCAGGGTTGATGGAGGGAAGGATTGTTAGGACAGGTTTCCTCCCTCTTTGTTAATGTCAATTTCCTTTCTTGCTGAATTCATATTTTTGTTACTTTCTTCTTTTGTGCTTAAAATGCAATTCTCTCCCTTGATTTTGAACAATCATGACATAAACATTTGAGTCTTGTCTTGTTGAGAAGACTTTCCAAATCCACATAAAAAAAAAAAAAAACTCATGTCGCCACAGCAAATTGACATGCAATAATAAGCAAAGAAGAGAGTTGAATATTTACAAAAATTCTTTTCAAGGATTGCATTCTACAAATTATTTATTTAACAAAGTAAGTTCGGGGCAGTGAAAACAAAAAGAAAGAGGAAAAAAGAAATCAAAGACCAAAAGGTAACCAAACCAATTCTACTCAGCTCTCAACGTTGCTGATGCCAAAGTAGGCCAAAGATATTTACAGCTACTGTCTAGCATCTCCCAACTACAGCGCACCTTCCGCAGTCTTATCTCCCAAACTAAAGCACTTTCTGAGGGAGAAAAACCCATATTCTTGACCTATCCTAACAATCCTTCACTCCAACAACCCTATTAAAACTCTTATTCTTAACTCACCTCTCTGATACTGATATATTGCAATCTCAATATCAAAACTGGCACGATGTACCGAGCCTCTGTCTCTGTTTCTGCCCTAATGTCACAGATTTCCGTTTGTGAAATGCTGGGTAAAGTAATTCTTGAAACTTCTCCAGAAATAGAATCCATTCCTCTTCGTTCATGTCTGCCAACTTCACAAAGCTTGTGCTCGCAGGAAGTTGCTCATTCGCACTGTTGTGCCCAAGTGATGTGCCAGAAAGGTAGCCATTTTCTGCTTTTACTGTGCTGAATTTTGGGAATTTCTGGCTCTTATCACTCAAGCTTGTATTCTTCAGAGACATTGAAAGCCTTGACAGGTCATGGATCCTTTCAGGAGCTCGAGGCACAACAAATCCTTCATGCTCAACTTTTGCTTCACTTTCCTCTCCCTCATCCTCTTCATCCTCCTCCTCAATGGTTTCCTCAAGTTTTGAAAGCAGAGAATGGCCATTCCCAACCCCAATATCAAACTGGAATTGCAATCTGGCTATATAATCATCCTCTCCTACCTTATGTATGTTCTGTTCTGGTCCCTCGCAATCTATATCAAATTGGAATTCCTCATCCCCTCTGTCAGACTTGGGAGATAGCACCTCCCTCTCAACTATCACCCTCCTAGCCTCCATACATACAATCTCAAGCTCACTTGGCTCCTCTTCTCCTGCGCGGAATTCCCTACTCATCATCTCACCAATTTCAGCAAGACAGAGACCAAAAGCAGCAGCTTCCTTGAGGAAAATTGTGCAGAGAACCAACACACGAAGACATGCCTCTCGAATCATGGGTAGCTCCCTTCGCAGCATCTCACAATCCCGAAGAGGATCAAGATTTTCAATATATTCAAGTTCGTCATCCGAAAATGGAATTGAAGCTTGAGGCCAATGAATCCACTCAAAGTATGGATCCTCCAAGGTTTCTGGCAAACATAGGCCATGGTCAATTGGAATGAGCTCCACTTGACCAAAACTTCCAACACAGTCAAGCTTTCTGACCAAAAGATTTCCAGCATGCCTGTCTGTGTTGAAAATCCTGATGTCTAATATACCTATGCGATGCACAGCAAAAACTGGGAAGCTTGAGGTACCATGGTCACTGGCATCAAAGTCGTGTGGTATGAACTGTTGGAAGGACGCAATCTTGCTAACCGTCTTCCCTTTATGAGATTTGTTTACGTTCACCCCATCATTGACATTGAAGATTGAGTGTGTAATTTTCACAAGGGCAGTTGGAGGCACATTTGCAAAGTGATCATAGTCAAGAAGGTAAGCGGCAACCTCTCTGAATCCAGTTTCCCCCACGCGCACTGAGCGTTTCAAGCCAGGTTGCCCAAGGGCTTTACCAACAAATCCTTTGGGGTTGTTAGGAGCAAAAGGTTCTTCATCCGTTGGCTTCACAATTGCAACGCTTTTCACCTCTGCTGTCCTGAAATAGTATGCACCTCCAAGCCCACCATGAACAGGAAGGGGTTCAACACCCATCTTCATTGCC